AAGAAAGGAAAAGAAAAAAAAAGAAAAGGAAAGAAAAGAAAAGAAAAATAAAAGAAAATGACATGTGTAAAGTATAACAGTCCAGAAATGCGCTCATACACACCTCTGGATTAAATAAATTACTATGAATAATTTAATTACCTTAGAATTATTTAAACTCAATTAATTAAATCAGATTAGGCACACTAATAATCTCAGTTACCTTAATTAATCTCAATTAATTCTTCAGGGTGTTACAACAATAAACACTCGAATTTCCACAAATACCAACGCATGCACGATGTGGAATTTTTAGAGAAAATTTTTTTTTTCTTCCTCTCTCTCTTGAGAATTTCGGCCAGCCTTAACCCTTAGGGCTGAAAAATTGTTTCCAAAATTTCTATAAAGAAATTTCGGCTACCTCTAAAATTAGGGTAAAAAACCATTCCGAAAATTGTCTCAAAAATAGTATTTATAGAGTGGAGGTCAAACTTCTAGAAAGAATCCAATCTCTATCTCCAATTTGAATTTCGAACCAAAATTATCCTCTATCCCTTATCCCTTGTGGCTGGCCATGCTAGGGGTTCCTATCCCTATGTGTGGCGCCAATACTAGATAGGGAAGGAAGAGAAAATCATCCTTTATCCTGTAGTCCAATTTTGACTCAAATTCAAATTTCAATTTAAGTCAAACTTAAATTAATTTGAATTCTAAATTGAACAACTTATCAAATAAGTTTAAATGGATAAATCTAGATGTGTTCAAATTCAAATTTAAATAATCACATTATTTAAATAATAATTAATTCTCAATTAATTATTTTCGAGTATTTAATTTTATAATTCCGTAATTCTAAAATTCCCATTTTGCCCTCTGTGTCTGGCAGAATTACTAGGACGACGCGGGGACTAATGGACCTATAATCCCGAGCTCCAATAAAATTAATAATCAATTAAACACTTTAATTAATTAATTAATTCTATTAATTCCAATAGTTACTCCACTATAAACTTGGAATTGCACTCTCGAAATTATAGATATAAATTACTTCTAAACTGTGAAGTGTCCATTTGATATAGTCATTGCATATAGATCAATCCTCCATAAATAATTCATAATTAGAGCAAGGTAAAATCCGTTAACCTCTCTAATTATTTCTTTATCCTTGAGTACCATTGATTCTCTAATGGACAGTGATTCATAAAACACATTCATGAATCGGAGCTCCTACTGGTCCAAGTACCGAATCAACCCTCAAGAGAATTATTTATCTACTTCTTTCTTAAGAAGGAATGGATTCCATCTCGTGTAATAACATTCCCGGCTACCTACTTCATCATGTCTCCAAAATACAAGGAATAGGATTCAGGATCTCAGAATCCGTACCGAGTAAATCAAAAGACACAAATCCATAAATAGGAGTTTGTTAAGAACTCAGGATTAAGATCATTCTATATATGACCATCGGTAGACTCAATTAGAATTTCTATACTTAACGGAAATTATTAGAAATTCATATTGTGTCTGTGTCCTTGTTCCACATAACCTCATTATGCGAAATCCACTCATTCAATATCTCGCCATATCAACAGTGCGGATAACACCGTTCCATTCTAAATGGGAATGACATGTATTAATAATGTTTTAATTAAAGATTCCAAACTTTAATTAAATTCATTATGAACATTGCTTTTTGATTATTATCCTCAAACATTATCCTCTCGTATATAACACTTATATACAATGTTTAAGGTTACATAAATAATCATGAAATTTTCATTGATATTCATAAAATATTCATAAATATATGCACATAAAATAATGAATAAACTCTTTTATTAAATAAATAATAAATATCCTATTACATCTCATGCTTCTAGGACACCATTCCCAACACAAACTTAATTATAAAGTCGTTTGTGAAACTTGAATTTGAGTCAACACACACTAATAGGAAACAATTAGACATAATTGAACTTGATTTGTTTTAAGAATGAGGATTGTGTGCTAAAACTTTGTTTTGTGACAATGTTAGTTGAAGGATCAGATTAAAAGCTTTGAGGAAAGCGGAGGCTAGGATAACGAAAGGCTAGCCCAGGTTTGATATCCGAGAGGTAGGATATTCTTGTCTATATCCTTGATAACCACGATTTAACTGGTTTTGGCCTATGAAAATGTTTTAGAACAAAACATGTTTAAATAAAATGATTTTAAAAGAAATAGCATGAATAATGCTATTGGGTTTCCAATAATTTGGAAATGAGATTTTAAAGAGTTTTCTTTCTTAAAATGAAATATTTTAAGAAATGATAAAATGCATGGTGGCCACAGAGATCATGATATGGGAATCGTTTCCTTGGGGGCAGATTCTAAAATCCGCACAGTCCACTTCTTGCTCAGTGGTGTTATTATGGCTCTGCATATTTTCATTATACATATATTTTACTACTATTATGTGAGTATTTCTTTTTCTATAACGGATGATCGGTTCGGGGTGTATGTCTTCAGACCGTGAATACTTTTATTTACAATGTTTTATAAAATTATATCCTACTGGGTTTTCCGCTTATTTTTCTTCTGATTTCAATGTTTTAAACCCTCCTTTCAGAGTTAGCGGTTTAGATTTACAGCATGTCGCGTGGATGCTAATGGATTGAAGGCGCGAGATTCGAAGTGGTTAGTTTGTTTCGAATTTACAGTTTTTAATTCTGTGATGTATTGTATTTCTGTATATAATATGTATTAGTCTACATTGTCCCAAAGTTGTATTATTTTCCTTGAATTTTATGGACTGTTTTAAATATTGTTTGTAAAAGAAAGACTCTGGAGCAATATATTTTAATATCTATTTTGGTATTTGTATATTTTATTTTATTTTCATGGATTTTCCTTAATTAATCTAGTTTAATTAAGTTAAATTTTTAATTAAACTCCAATAATCACGGCCCTATCCTTGGGGTCGTGACAGAGAAAGAAACAAAAAATAATGGGTAAAATGTAAAAAAAAAAAAAAAAAAAAAAAAGGAAAAAAGGTAAGAAAGAAATTAAAAGAAAAAATGGGAGGGGAGGGGCACATTAGAAAGAAAAAAATATATTTATAAAAGTGAAAACTACTTATGATTTGTTTGATTCAACGATTTAAATTGTTACTTTAATTGAAATTGTGGTGATTTTAATTGTGATTGAAATTGGCGTTTGAATACACAAATAAACTGTATATTTATAAAAGTGAAAACTACTTATGATTTGTTTGATTCAACGATTTAAATTGTTACTTTAATTGAAATTGTTGTGATTTTAATTGTGATTGAAATTGGCGTTTGAATACACAAATAAACTGTAATTTGAATTGAGAATAAAATCGGAACTGTGTTGGATAAAGTGTTGAAAACCGTCATTAAAGTTTTTTAACAAATCTTATAAAACCTCACACTAAAAAATATGCAATATGGATTAGGTTATGTTACTCTATTCATTATAAACACATTTAAAAAAAAAATCATTCCAATCGGAATTAAAACGAATAAGTTATGACATTTTTAAACTTGAAGTTGAGGGAGAGAGAAAAAATAAAATCTGAATTGTTTTAATTGTAAAAAACAGTTCAGATTGTTAGAATTTAGGAAGTGAATTCTGTAATTAAGAGTTTGAACCATTGTTAATGATTTGAATTGACCCCATTTAACTATCTGCCCAACATCAATTTGAACCTTGAACAACAATCCAAATTGATTTGTAGGGTTAGGATTGCTGTAACAAACAAGGGCTTAATACATGTAAGAAGTAAAAAGGTTTTTACAGAGGCACATTTTGAAAGGAAAAAAAAAGCATATATACAAGTGTCAAAACAATTTATCTAAGCAAGTAAGAGATAAAATATTAAAGATATTTACTGAGACACATTTGAAGGAAAAAATATTTTAACAGACAGCAGCCTTCAAACGGCAAAGAGGAATCCCACGATGTCAGCGACAAGAAATCCAGCCATTAAACGGCCTCCATTCAATCAGTGACGAAGTCAGAAAAAAATTCCGGAAGGGTGGGGTGGGGGGCTTGAATTAAGCTTAAATTTTAAACTAAATTAATTGTACAATAGAGTATTATTAGAAGTAAAAATTAAGAGTGTAAATGAAAAAATTTCAAATATTCTACATAAAATATCAAGTTAGTACATTTTAAAGGAGTAAAATAATATAAATTTTATATAAGTTTAATATCAAACTTACGGATATAAATAAAAACTTTAAAAAACATAGCACAAAAAAAAAATAATAATGTTTTTTTTTTTTAAAGAATAGTAAGGAAGCTAGTTGGGTCCGGGGGCTGCAGCCCCCTCTGGGCCTATGCTAGCTTCGTCCCTGCGTCAATCATACTGCCATCATCATCAGTCTGTGGTCTTCATGATTGTGAAGACGCATTGATGATTTTGTAAGTAGACACATTTCAATGATTTTGTAAGTAGACACGTTTCAATGATTTTGTAAGTAAACACATTATTAGATGACCCTTCCTCACTTTTTTTCCCTTTAATGCAAAGTAAACATGCCCTAAATATGAATTGGGGACTTAGTTTCCAAAAGAAAAGGATTGGGAACTAAAGTGGTCACTTACTAAAAAGTTGGGGACTATTGTGCCAGTTCTGAAGTTTAAAACTCCACATGCACAACTTGTCAGTATGCAAAATATTTTATGAGGAAAATAAAGATAACCACGGAAAAAAATAATAATAATTCAGTACTTGCAAGTAGCAAGCATTGTGTTCACACTAACTGATCAAATGCATAACTATTTACTGGAGGGAGAAGTCAGCCTATTTTCCTCTGAATCGTGCTTTGATGCAGCATCTCCACCCATCAATTCTTGAAATCCTTCAACCTTCACGGGTGGAGCCCTAACAACACCCATATTCCTGCAAATACAAGGGATATTTCAAAATTTGGATGAATGATTATACATGTTAACCAGTGGTGACTTTATTATACTAGAAGATCTAATTCCTTACTGTGACTGCATTTGAGGGATTTGCCCCGAAGCCATCTGTCTAAATTGATTATTGGATTGACCATGGACGTTTGACATTGTGTAATTTGACATGGCAGCCATTTGCTGCCTATAATGCATCTGAGAAATTCTATTGTTGAAATTGTTTAAGGAATTGCTATCCATTGGCAGTTCTGATGGTTGTTCAATCTTGACCTGAACCAAGGGTCTATCCTTGTCCACATCCATGCCAGAGCGAGGAGTAGATGGCTGACGTCTACGCATCCGCTCTAACTGCTGCTGTTGCTGCTGCTGCAATTGTTGCTGTTGCTGCTGCTGCAGTTGTTGTTGCTGCAGTTGTTGCTGCTGTTGCTGTTGCAGTTGTTGCTGCTGCTGATGATGTTGCTGTTGCTGCTGCTGAAAAGCCATATTTTGGGAGTGGACAAATTGCTGCATCTGGGGATGCATTTGTCTGGACATCTGTGGTTCCGCCACAAAATCAGTTGCTACTTCATAATTCATACTAAAGCAAAGGCCATGATAAAAAAAAATAAATAAAAAAAAAATAAAAAAAAAAACCCCAAATTCTCCAAATCTTTGGAGCTATTTCAGATATCTATACAACATTTGCATTAAGAAAAAGAAAAGGCAGACCATAGTTAGCACACATTGCAACAAACACATATCCCCCCATAATACAGTATCTTGTGCAAGGATGAGGGGACTAGGGATTTAGGACAAACACCGAATAGCTTATTGGCATTCATTTCCAAACCAAAGCCAGAACGTTCTAATCATATTGACCAATAAGCAATTCTTGCAAATGATTCATTTAAGCATAACTATCAACTTATAGTTATTACAAAGATTAGAACCAACACTTGACAAATTACAAAACTGATATTGGGAGGTGAACATACTTGCTGCTGTAGTCGAAGGGCAGCCTGGGCTTGCGACATCATCTGCGACTGTATCCCATGAACTTGAGATTGACTCTGTTGAACAGAAGTCCTGGAGCCATCCTTGACATGCTCCACAAGAGATCCAAAATCACTAGTGGGAATACAAAGAGAGAAAGACATAAATAAGATAGTGACCTATAAGGTAGCTTAAACCATATAGATCTACATAACTAATAGGCATATGCAGCCGCAACAAAAGGTTTTCATAATAGAACAAAATGGAAATCATCAAAATTCAAACACCTAATTCCTTCGACTTACCAGTTGTGATTGCATACAACCCCGTCACATATATTCCAGTATTGGGTTGGTCTAATTTTAATATAGTTCAAAAAACACATCTTCTTTAATGAACTTAGCAATGTCGAGCTAATCAGATTAATGGTAAGGTAATTAGTAACAGTTCATGATGTGACAATATCCAGGTCTTATTGCAGTTACCCTCTTTGCCTTCCACATCCACAATTACCAAAGTTATCAAAAGATATAAACGTCATGATCTAGAGAATAAATTAGGTTTCAAAGAATTATATATACGCATATGATTGAGCAACAGCAGAAACTCACCATTTCAACCGTTGAAGGAACATCTTAAGAAGCTCAACAGCTGTGCACTGCTTTCTGTAACTATCGGAAAGAACTTTTAAGATGCGGCCAAGCTCAGTGATATGACAAGACATCAACTGAGAGAATACTTCGACTGGGACTTCAGTAGAACCTTCGAACCCAATACTTGCCAGCATTCGGGCTATCACCTTTTGAGACAACTCTAATGCTTGCTCTTGACCAAGACATTTCTTGTTTACTACAGACCCATTTTTTACATGATGTACATTTCCTCCATGTTCCATGCCAAGGAAAGGATTGATACCAAACCTCTCAATCATAACAGGACTCTTAGTCATAACCCGAGGTAAGCCATCAAGAACTCCATAAAACTCAATTTTCCGTCTCTCTTCCACTCTATTAGCAACTGAGAGAGCACTATCAGGAACACTGTTCAATGTAAACATGATTTCTGGAAAAAATGTTGACTCGTCATCATCTGAGTTAATGGCATCTGAAATTGAATTTGGTCGCATGTATGACGAATTTTCTAGGACAGGATTTCCATAGCCCATATATTGATCTTCCTTATATGCTACACGTCTTTTCTTATGCTTCTCCAGAAGTTTTATATAAGCACACATCTCCTCCGGTGAGCGTTTATCCGGCTCTTGGTCCCCAAGTGACAACCTATAGGGTCTACTAGTTCTGTAATTCTCAATAAATTGATTATACCATGTTTCAGGCAAAACATCATTCCTAAACATCTGATGGACATTATCAATTTCAGATTCCCCATATCCTGATCCAACCCCAAATGATGCTTTTGATTGTATCTGGAAATGTAGCCAATAACGTTAGCCAGCCCCGAAAAGCAGGTACGAGAAAAAGGAACTAACAAAAACCTTAGCTGATCAATGCCGTGTAATTTTAAAGATAACAGAATGTGGAAGCAGAGGTATAACTATAAATCAACGCTTGAATCAAAGTTAATCATAAAATCAAAGAAAATCAAATTTTGAACTGTAACATTCTTAACATCACAGTATTAGGGTTTAATTAAAACAGTGAAATTCAAGGCACAGAACCTTAGATGATGCCGTATTGGAAGAAACATCTGAAGAAGAATTCTCTAGGGTAAAGTAAACATCGTCACCATGCAAGTTCAAATCTGCAACAAGAACCATACTAATCAGAAAAACCACACAATTTTTCATCTCAAAAGCCAAGAAAAAACAAAAAAAGAAATGCTCACAATTTGGATTAAGCTTGGAAATAGCGACGGACGAACGAGACGCCGACGAAGAAGAAGAAGAAGAAGAAGAAGAAGAAGAGGGATTTGAGCGGAGGAAGAGGGAGACGCTGGCTTTGTCAAAAAGGAGTGCTCGGACCCTCAGTTGGAGATGGATTTGAGCCCTAGATTTGGTTCCATCGACTCTCATGAAGGCTTCCCATGTCGTCGGCGAATTGAGATAAGGGGCGAAATTGCCGTAGCAGGAATCGCCGAGCCATTTCCGCCATACGCCGCAAGTCTCGAGTTTCCGAGCGAGCTCGAAGCCTCGACCGTCGTCGCCGAGTAGAGCCATGGACGACGACCGACAGTTGACTTCTGAGAGGGAACAGCCGGACTGGAATTCTTATTACAATGCGAGTATGCGACGCAAGGGAAATAACCTCGGAAAATTATTTGATTTTATTTCTTTTATTCAGTTTAAGTTAACTACTGAGATTTTCTTTTCCTTATCGTATCATATTTTGTCACATTTGTTTTGTTTTTTTTTTTTTTACTTACTCGATCGAATCATATCCTAAGTCTAGTCTTGAAACTTCGCCCGCGGCCCAAAAATTTTCGGGCACGGTGGGCAGGCACTATTCACTGTCCATCCGATCATTTTTTTAGGTTTGAGCTCGGGTAGTTTGAGAAAAAATCATTCTCGATAATCCACCGTCGGTGGAGAAGTTGAGATCGTTGTTCGCCGGCTTTTTTTTAAAATTTTCCCACGTAACTTGATTTTACCTGAATTTTTTTGATCGTTAGCCAAATTATGAACACAACGGCTCTTTTTTGCCCAATCTGACCGCCGCCCGACTTGCCGGACTCCAACGGCTCTTTTTCTTACCGTTGCCCGAATTTGCCCGAACCCGACCTGACCGCCCGAATTTGTGTTACCGTTGGAACCAAATTTTTTAGGGAAATTTTTTTTTTTCAAGCCAAAACATTTCCTATAAATACCCCCCATCCCCTAACCATTTTTTTCACCCAAAAACTCTCATCCTCTCTTAATTTCTCTCAATCTCTCTCAAATCTCTCTTAATCTCTTTTAAATCTCTCTTAATCTCGCTTAAATCTCTCTCGATTTCTCTTAATCTCTCTCAAAGGGCCCTCAATCTCTCTTATTTTTCATAATGACTTCTTCTGTTTATGGTGGTGATATTCTCATTGATGCATAATTCAACATCGAAGAAGGGCAATTTTCAAATGTTTTTCAAACGTAGGAATCGCAAACTACTGAAATAGTTGCTGAGGATGTAACGACCGGGAAGATTTTAGGTCTAATCCGGATAGTCCGGTATTTGACTGAAATTCTCTCCGGAACAGAATGTAGAAGATTTTCAGGTTGCTCAAGGAAATATTATGTAGAAATTTTATTTACGAGGTAAAATTTTCTGAAAAGTGTAAAGTTATAGTATGAATATTTTTACAGAGAAATTCGTAAATATCAGTTGTGAATAGTAAAATATCGGTTAAAAGTTAGAAATTTTAGCGGGTATATTTTAGTTATTAAAAACTAAAATATTTGGTAAGTGACCAAATGACTAGTTAGAAGTATAAATATTATGAGTAAGAAAAACAGCAAAAATTCCTGAAACAGGATTTTTCCGAGTCAGTTAAAGCGGGAAACTGCCTAAAAACCAGTACCGCGAGGGTACGCATTTTTTTGGACCAAAATTTACTTATTTTCATCAGTTTCGGAGGAAAAAAAATTAGAGAACTGTGACTGAAGACGGCCATTACTTTTGATCCAGATATCGTTGTTGCGCCTATAATATACCAAATCGAAGCTCTTTTCAAGCTCTACAAAGGTGGTAAGGCGTAGCCTGCAACCAAATTTTTTGGGCCAAAATTCACTTGTTTTCATCAGTTTCGGAGGAAAAAAAATCAGAGAACTCTGCCTGAAGACGGCTATAACGTTTGATCCAGAAATCGTTACTGGTCCTATAATATACCAAATCGAAGCTCTTTTCGAGCTCTACAAACTTGGCAGGGCGTAGCCCACCAACCCAATTTTTTGGGCAAAATTCACTTGTTTTCATCAGTTTCAGAGGAAAAAAAATTGGAGAATTGTGACTGAAGACAGCCATAATTTTTGATCCAGAAATCGTTGCTGCGCCTATAATATACCAAATCGAAGCTCTTTTCGAGCTCTACAACTGTGGAAGGGCGTAGCCTGCCAACCTAGTTTTTTGGGCCAAAATTCACTTGTTTTCATTAGTTTCGGAGGTAAAAAAATCAGAGAACTGTGACTGAAGATGGCCATAACTTTTGATCCAAAAATCGTTGCTGGGCCTATAATATAGCAAATCGAAGCCCTTTTCAAGCTCTACAAGCATGGTAGTGCGTAGCCCGCCAACCCAATTTTTTGGGCCAAAATTCACTTGTTTTCATCAGTTTCGGAGAAAAAAAAATTGGAGAACTGTGACTGAAGACGGCCATAACTTTAAATCCAGAAATCGTCGCTGGGCCTATATTATACCAAATTGAAGCTCTATTCGAGCTCTACAACGATGGTAGGGCGTAGCCTGCCAATCCAATTTTATTAGCCAAAATTCACTTGTTTTCATCAATTTTGGAGGAAAAAAAATCGGAGAACTGTGATTGAAGACGGTCATAACTTTTGATCTAGAAATCGTTGCTGGGCCTATAATATACCAAATCGAAGCTCTTTTAGTGCTCTATAAACATGGCAGGGCGTAGCCTGCCAACCCAATTTTTTGGGCCAAAATTTACTTGTTTTCATCAGTTTCGGAGGGAAACAAATCGGAGAACTGGGACAGAAGACGGCCATAACTTTTGATCTAGAAATCATTGCGGAGCATATAATATACCAAATTGAAGCTCTTTTTGAGCTCTATAAACCTGGCAGGGCGTAGCCTGGCAACCCAATTTTTTAGGCAAAAATTCACTTGTTTTCAGCAATTTCAGAGGAAAAAAAATCAAAGAACTGTGATTTAAGACGGCCATAACTTTTGATCCAGAAATCGTTGCTGGGCCTATAATATACCAAATCGAAGCTTTTTTTGAGCTCTAAAAACGTGGCAGGGCATAGCCCGCCGACCCAATTTTTTGGGCCAATATTCACTTATTTTCATCAGTTTCGGAGGAAAACAAATCGGAGAACTGTGACTGAAGACGGCCATAACCTTTGAACCAGAAATCGTTGCTGGGCCTATAATTTGTAAAATCGAAGCGCTTTTCGAGCTCTACAAATGTGGTAGGGCGTAGCCCGCCAACCATTTTTTGGGCCAAAATTCACTTGATTTCATCAGTTTCAAAGGAAAAAATATCGGAGAATTGTGACTGAAGACGGCGATAACTTTTGATCCAGAAATCGTTGCTGGGCCTATAATATACCAAATCAAAGCTCTTTTTGTGCTCTACAAACGTGGCAGGGCGTAGCCCGCAGACCCGATTTTTTGGGCCAAAATTTACTTGTTTTCATCAGTTTCGGAGGGAAACAAATCAGAGAACTGGGACAGAAGACGGCCATAACTTTTGATCCAGAAATCATTGCGGAGCATATAATATACCAAATCGAAACTCTTTTTGAGCTCTATAAACCTGGCAACGCAATTTTTTAGGCAAAAATTCACTTGTTTTCAGCAATTTCAGTGGAAAAAAAAAATCAAAGAACTGTGATTTAAGACGGCCATAACTTTTGATCCAGAAATCGTTGCTGGGCCTATAATATACCAAATCGAAGCTTTTTTCGAGCTCTAAAAACGTGGAAGGGCATAGCCCGCCGACCCAATTTTTTGGACCAATATTCACTTGTTTTCATCAGTTTCGGAGGAAAACTAATCGGAGAACTGTGACTGAAGACGGCCATAACCTTTGAACCAGAAATCGTTGCTGGGCCTATAATTTATAAAATCGAAGCGCTTTTCGAGCTCTACAAATGTGGCAGGGCGTAGCCCGCCAACCATTTTTTGGGCCAAAATTCACTTGATTTCATCAGTTTCGGAGGAAAAAATATCGGAGAACTGTGACTGAAGACGACGATAACTTTTGATCCAGAAATCATTGCTGGGCCTATAATATACCAAATCAAAGCTCTTTTTGTGCTCTACAAACGTGGCAGGGCGTAGCCCGCAGACCCGATTTTTTGGGCCAAAATTTACTTGTTTTCATCAGTTTCGGCGAGAAAAAAATCAGAGAACTGTGACTAAAGAGGGCCATAAGTTTTGATCCAGAAATCGTTGCTGGGCCTATAATATGCCAAATCGAAGCTTTTTTCGAACTCAATAAACATGATAAGGCATAGCCCGCCATCCCAACTTTTTGGGCCAAAATTCACTTGTTTCCGTCACTTTCGGAGGAAAAAAAATCGGAGAACTATGACATAAGACGGCCATAACTTTTTATCCAGAAATCGTTGCTGGGCTTGAAATATACCAAATTGAAGCTCTTTTCGAGCTCTAGAAACGTCGCAGGGCGTAGCCAGCCAACGCAATTTTTTGGGGAAAAATTCACCTGTTTTCATCAGTTTCAGAGGAAAAATATCGGAGAACTGTGACTGAAGATGGCCATAACGTTTGATCTAGAAATCGTTGTTGGGCCTATAATATACCAAATCGAAGCGCTTTTCGAGATCTACAAATGTGGTATGGCGTCACCCGCCAATCCATTTTTTGGGGCCAAAATTCACTTGTTTTCATCAGTTTTGGAGGTAAAAAAATTGGAGAACTGTGATTGAAGACGGCCGTAACTTTGGATCCAGAAATCGTTTCTCGGCCTAGAAAATAATAAATCAATGCCCATTTCGTGCTCTACAAACGTGGCAGGGCGTAGCCCGCCAACCCAATTTTTTGTGCCAAAATTTACTTGTTTACATCAATTTCGGCGGCAAAAAAATCAGAGAACTGTGACTAAAGACGGCGATAACTTTTGATCCAGAAATCGTTACTGGGCCTGTAATATACCAAATCGAAGCTCTTTTCGAGCTCTAGAAACGTGGTAGGGCGTAGCCAACCCATTTTTTTGGGCCAAAATTCACTTGTTTTCATCAGTTTCGGAGGAAAACAATTTGAAGAACTGTGATTGAAGACGGCCATAACTTTTGATCCAGAAATCGTTGCTCGGCCTATAATATACCAAATCGAAGCTCTTTTCGAGCTCTAAAAACGTGACACGGCATAGCCTGCCAAACGAATATTTTGGGCCAAAATTCACTTGTTTTCATCAGTTTCGGAGGAAAACAATTTGAAGAACTGTGATTGAAGACGGCCATAACTTTTGATCCAGAAATCGTTGTTGGGCCTATAATATACCAAATCGAAGTTCTTTTCGAGCTCTATAAGCGTGGTAGGGCATAGCCCACCTACCCAAATTTTTGGGCCAAAATTCACCTGTTTTCATCAGTTTCGAGGAAAAAAAATCAAAGAACTGTGACTGAAGACGGCCATAACT